AGCAATTTTTTTACAGTGTAGTCATATTTTAACCAAAACTACGACAATACTCATTTGTCTGTCTTTAATTTAACTTCATTCTGCCAAAAACAAAAACACACTTACTACAGTAGCCTACAGTACATGGTAAAAGACTCACCCCAGCTTGTTTAACTTATGTAGTCAATAATTGTATCCCTTAAAAATCATCTTTGATCACCAAAATTACATTTTTAAACGGACTTCGAATGGCTTTTGTTGCCGTCTATATTTGGGGAATGAACCCAGCGCTATGATTGGTCGATCTCTTCTTTTGAATTGATTGAGTAAATAAAGCAAGTTTCCATCAAGTGAGCCAAAGAGAACAAAATCGTCACTTCCTGATAAACTGGCGCTAAATATCACCAATAAAAATGGAAGTTGCTGCAGTACAAGAAGCCACTGTGTATAATAATTTCGTATATTAAATGAATTAAAAAATAAATGACTTGCACCTCAGAGCGCGCAAACAAAACGAGGTTTGCCCGGCGTTTGGGAACAGTCGTGTAAGACAGTTCTAGGAGGTCGTTATACCGAACCATTTAGACAACACACTTCGCTGAGGCATTTCAGAACAACAAAAGCTAGTTTCAGATGCTGTGCAACGAGATCGGTCCGCTGGACGGTCCAGTTATGCCGTCCTATCGCAAAGTCACGTGATTTTTTTAACCCCTTCGCTGTCATCCCCCTTTTTGAGAATGTGGGTTAAAATGCACTATTCAAACTTACATGGTTGTAATTCAAGAATGCTTTGGAATATAGACCCAAGTTTGGTCTTGTTTTAAAGGAAACACTAGTATGAAAAAGTTATGGAAGTTTAAATTTACAGTAAATCAAATATACTGTACATTTTTATTTTATAAAAAATATATATTTTACAAAATATTTTTTACTATAAACTTACTATAAAATCAAAGCCATATTTTTAACCAAGTTGTGTTCCAAATTTGAAGTTGATATCACAAAAATTTAAGTTCCCATGAGATTTTGTTTACGCGTAGTACCAAAAATAGCCACCGGGTGACATACATTCCATTGAATTTAGTTGTATACATTCTGCCTTATCAAATTAATACATTTCTGTCCAAATATCAATTCTGTCACAAAATTTTGAACCTTGAGACTTAGACCTTTCTGACTACCGGTATGTGTTTTGTCAGGATTAGAAAAGGTTTTGATCATAAATTATGAAATATAATGATGCCCAAAAGGGGAGGAGCCTAATAAAATAATTTAGAGTACCGTTTCTATGGTAACGCAATGTTCAATTTCAAAACGGTTTTCACAGGTTGAATTCTGAGTTTGTAAGCTTTCAAATGATACCTAATTTGTGATAACTACTAAAATATGTGATGTAATAAAAAAGGCGATAAAAAAGATATTATTCTATTTTAGAGGATAATATATATATATATATTATACTTTTTAGAGGATAATATTATATTATAATTTTTTATTGAAAAATACTAGATTATATGTTTTATTATGAACTTTTAGCATGAAAACCAAAGTTTCAATTATTAAAGGTGTGTGCGTCAACTTTTTGTGACAAAGGTCAGAACTCCTGTTATGATGCAGATTTTTTTGAGGCGCACTCTTGTCAAAAATTCATCGGTTACTCTTCTTACATAATTTGTAGCAAAAAACAGCAGTAAGATATCTATTTAGGAGTCTTAGACCTTTCCAACCATATATAGTTTGTCATAATTAGATTAGGATTTAATAGTAATATAGCGAAGTAAACTTAGGCGTCCCGTATATGGGACGGTGACAGTTAAGGGGCTAAATGCACATCAAAGAATGTATTCGGTAAATTTGTTTTCGTCGTAGTTTATGCGCAAGTTTTCTTATCGGATAAAACGTTTATCCGACTCAATTGAGCGCATACGTTTTTTTGCACATTTGTGCATTTTGCCGTTTCCATCCAGCGTTTCTTATGCGAACCATGAAAATGCTCATAAAAACAGGTGGACGGAAACATTAGCTATAGTCACCTCACACTGAGTGACCACACAACATAGATTTGGTAGAAGTGCCTCCAATTGGTCAGAAGTCATAAGCAATTTAATCATATTTTCTAGTATTTGTATTTGTGCCTTTTTAAGCCATATTTGGTAACACTTTACAATAAGGTTAATTAGTTAACATCAACTAAGAATGAACACTTCTTCAGCATTTATTAATCTTAGTTAATATTAATTTCAACATTTACTAATACGTCATTAAAATCAAAGGTTGTATTTGTTAACATTACTTAGTGAACTAACATGAACAAACAATGAACAGCTGTATTTTATTAACTATTAACAAAGATTAATAAACACTAACAAATGTATTGCTCATTGTTAGTTCATGTTAGTTTATGCATTAACTAATGAACCTTATTGTAAAGTGTAAGCCATTTTTACTGAATCATCTAAAATTGAAATGAATTGTTAGGAGGATAAAATGTCTTTAATTACTCATTACTGCGGTCTAATATCTCTCCATTTTGCCTCTTTTCTAAGTTTCTATTTTTATGATTCAATTAGTTATTAGCTTTCCATCAATCCCCAGCCGTTTGCAAATCCCTGAATCAGCCGGAAATCTAATAGACTTCCATTGCTGTACGGTCGTTCAGAAATCACTTTCTCTGATCAATTCTCAACATTTTCCATATCAATTTTGACAAGACAACATGCAAAATTTATGCTCATATGATTTCTGCTATATTAAAATACACTAATGTTTTGCGGTGACACATTATACTTGTAAACTGAGAGGAATAAAACCCCGTCCACACTGGCGAGAGGTTGCCGTTCACTTTCGAATGGTACATAAATACAAGGGCTGTCCATCTGGTGTGGTGATTCAGCAGTAAGTGAGAATTATTACCAAGAACCCAATAAACCTGATGTGGGCTTCATTATATTTAGACCAGCGCTCCTGAAACAATCCCCTCATAAACCCTAAATCAGACCAGAAGCATCGAGTCGAGAGAAAGAAACAGAAAAAAGCCAACTCAAGCAGTTTAATCACACAGTAATAGAGTAGGATTGATGGTTTGATCTGTGGCGAACACTGAGGAGCATTTATGTGTTAACCTCACTAACCCTTATGTGGTGTTGGAAACCCTGTCACACCTTCTGTGTTCCCGGCCTTTTAAAAATCGCTTGTTATGCTTTATTATTATCCCCAATTCTTGGTTTCAATCTTTTTGTCAACTTGTTTTCTGTCAATTAGCACAGGTTTTGTATTTCTTTTTTTTAAACTGATTGATCGTCCTCGTTGATCTGAGCTTATGCACGTCAGTTTTTAAATGAAAAAAGCATTAATTGTGGATGAATTTGTCAATATTCAACTAATATGGGTACAAAATTGCACTGTTTATCACACTAGAGTGCTTTAATGTTTAACCAGAAAGTTTGTTTTGAAATGCGTTTATTTTGTACAAACAAGAAAGTCACACTTGTGGTGTTCCTGCACAACAAATTACCAGCCAAAAAAAAAAAAAAAAAGCTTATAAATCTCGTTATGATATATTATATATCGTTTTTACTATATTACACAGGTCCGACGCCTTTATCTTTGCAAGCACATGCTGTACACATCAATACATAAATCTTTGTTCAATCATTTTATTTTATATAATTTGACCAAACTTTATTTAGAGGTTAATTTAATTGACATATGAATGTGATTTTCACTAACAAAATTTGATCATTATTGTCACACCAAGTGATTTTTGCATCACAACTAAGGATTATAACTATAAATAAAATATATTTTTTGCAACTTGAGGGATTATAATCTAGACAACTCTCTCTCTAGTCACTTTTTGTAATGTATGTTGTCTGTAAAAATTTTTTTTTTTGTAGTAAACCTTACCAGGTGGGTATTTTCAAAACATGTCCTCAGATTTTCATTTTGGATGCAAATCTACAGTCTGTAATTTGTGGTGTGTGTTACGCTGGTTATGTGACACCTGACAGTCTTAAATCTTATAGCAGTGTGAACTTAGACGTGCAAGTTTTCCATTGCTGATGCCACTGTAGAGCGAACACACAGTTTCTCGTGGGAACGCAAAACATTTAGGCCTACATTTTTTTCCGCCATCATGACCCTTCAGGAGCGCTGTGCTATTCAAAGTCAGCGATGATGAATTCCTTCCACAAGCAAATGTGTCCAATATCAGGGTTTAGTGGGAAACGTTCGGCTGGTCATGTGAGGCCACTGTGAAGCTGCTTTGAAACAATCTGTATTGCAAAAAGCGCTATATAAATAAAGGTGACTTGACAACTGAAATGGCCAGAGGCTTCAGTGACTTGAAACATATTTTTCCATATCATTATACAATATTATTAATAATTTTTCAAAAGCACTAAACATGGGTAGCTACATAATAATAGATCAAAGATGTAATTACAATACAAGTTGTTTGGTCTAATGTTTTAATTCAAACGATGTTTGTTTTTATCCTGTGATGAAACAAAACTGCTGACGTGAAAACGAGAAGCTTACTGGGATTTCGTCATTTCATCATAAAACACATGCTGTCTAGAAAGGCAGCTGACAAGGTTTTGAAACACAGCCGGTCACTAGTCACAGTGTTTAAATGATTTCTCAGCAAATAATCATTCCTTCTGTGCAGTTTATCTACAAAACAAACAGTAGCGAAGTTTCCGATCAATACAACTTTCTGTAATAGTAAAATGAGTGTGGATTCTTCTCGTAAAAGCTGAAGAATCACTCCAGTCTAAAGGTCCTTCAAAAGAAACTGAAAGAGGGTCGTCTGATGGGTTTGTCGCCAGACACACAGGAGACATGTTGTGTTAGTTTCATAAAGATGTTATTGAGCGTTTTTTCTGTCACACAAGATCCGTGACTCGCGTTCGGTCACAGTAAACAGGCAAAACGTTTTAAAAAAATAAGACTACAAGAGCTTTACAGCATCTTCACACGTATAAGTGTTGCTCTTCTCTCACTATCTGGTGTTTTCTTACCTTTCACTGCGAGTTCAGCTTTACTCTCTCGCGCTCCGTCTATGATGCTGCTCCCATCTGGAAACGTGCAAAGTTTGAGCGCGCGCTTCTCCTGTCACACGCTGTATCTGCAGCGATTAGTGCTCGTCTACTGTTTACTCTGTAGTGTGTGTGTGTGTGTGTGTGTGTCGACAGCACAAACCGCAGCTGCTTCAGTGTTTGACCGCGTGAACATGTGCGTGACGTGGATCAGACGCGGTGAGCGCGCGCGCGCGCGACACTGTACCTGCTATTTCACTTCCTTAATTCCTTAATTTCCTCATTCTGGCTTTATATTATACAACTATCCTGGAGCTTTTCACGAATACGGTATGCTACACACAGTTTTAAACAGTAAAGGAAGTCCTGGCGTTTAGAGAGAGTACTTTTAGTCAGCGATCAGTGTTTATTTCTAGAAAATACTGCAAATCGGAGTTCATCATTTTGTCCATAATTTTGATCAATTCTGGGTTTGTTTTTTTTACTCCGTATGTGACTGACACTTATTTGAAGAAAAACAAACAATTAATTACCTTTGATAAAGGTTCAGTTGTAATGTTTTTATTTAAATAAAATTCATAAGATGTGTTATTTGGATGATATAGTGTAGCCTATCAATAAACATATTGACATCATTGCACACCATTAGGTATAATATAAATAAATAAATGTGAAAAGACCCTTGTTTATTTTAAATTCGTTTAACAAACACAAAATAAATGCAGAGTTTAATTTATAGCCTATATTTGCCTGCTGTGATACAACTGATAAAACATGTGTTGACATTAAATTTGCATAAGTGTAACAGGATATTATGCTATTTAAAAAGATCCTGTTTTGTTTTGGATTCTCATACACTGGATAAAGGTTTCAGTCTCTCTGATTGGTCAGATGGCCCAGTCTGTTGTGATTGGTCTACTATGCTCTGATTGGTCAGATGGCTCAGTCTGTTGTGATTGGTCTACTCTGCTCTGATTGGTCAGATGACCCAGTCTGTTGTGATTGGTCTACTCTGCTTTGATTGGTCAGATGGCCCAGTCTGCTGTGATTGGTCTACTCTGCTCTGATTGGTCAGATGGCCCAGTCTGTTGTGATGGGTCTACTCTGCTCTGATTGGTCAGATGGCACAGTCTGTTGTGATTGGTCTACTCTGCTCTGATTGGTCAGATGGCCCAGTCTGTTGTGATGGGTCTACTCTGCTCTGATTGGTCAGATGGCCCAGTCTGTTGTGATTGGTCTACTCTGCTCTGATTGGTCAGATGACCCAGTCTGTTGTGATTGGTCTACTCTGCTCTGATTGGTCAGATGGCTCAGTCTGTTGTGATTGGTCTACTCTGCTCTGATTGGTCAGATGGCCCAGTCTGTTGTGATTGGTCTACTCTGCTCTGATTGGTCAGATGGCTCAGTCTGTTGTGATTGGTCTACTCTGCTCTGACTGGTCAGATGACCCAGTCTGTTGTGATTGGTCTACTCTGCTCTGATTGGTCAGATAGTTCAGTTTGTTGTGATTGGTCTACTCTGCTCTGATTGGTCAGACGGCCCAGTCTGTTGTGATTGGTCTACTCTGCTCTGATTGGTCAGATGGCCCAGTCTGTTGTGATTGGTCTACTCTGCTCTGATTGGTCAGATGGCCCAGTCTGTTGTGATTGGTCTACTCTGCTCTGATTGGTCAGACAGCCCAGTCTGTTGTGATTGGTCTACTCTGCTCTGATTGGTCAGACAGCCCAGTCTGTTGTAGGGTTGTGCGATGTCTACCAATTTGGCATCAGACGATGTGTACAGTGAAACATCGCGATGGACGATGATATCGGAAGGAGGGGCGGGGCTAACATTCTAATTTTTCACTTAAGCAATAAGCCCCGCAAAGCCGTGTTTTACAGTGGATTTAGAACAGCTAAGGGGCGTAGGCACAACGCGGAGATATTTTCCTCTACATCTCATCAGCAATTTTGATGTCGGCACGCTCTGCAGCAGCTGACCACTGAGGAGCGAATGTCCAGTGACGTGACAGAACTGCCAGATTCAAACTGTGCTTTTGCGCTGTGGCTGGCGCTGAGCCAGAGACGGACGCGCTCAGCGCTTTTTATTATATTACAACTATTCAGTGTTTTTAACCACATAATGTTTATTTTAGGTTTCAGACATTTAAATGCATATAATTTATAGCAAAACAATACATTTATAGTTTGTAAAATACACAATGGTGTCTATGGAAGCAGCAGCAATTACAACCCATTCAAATATATTTGCCGAGAGATTTCATTCATATCAGACACACAGTGTAAGTAACTATAAAGTTAACTATATTCTTCTCTCAGTTCACCGGCCATGTATTTCGGGAGAAACTGATGAATTCACGTGCTGTAATAAACCCAAGAGATGACTCTCTGAACTGTGTCTGAACAAACATTACGGCGCCCATCTCGCGTTACAGATCAAAATAATTTATAAAGGTTTTTTAAACAACAAAACAAACTCACTTACACGTATTTGAAAATCGGAATAGAAGATAGTTGATGACATGGTAATTAGGTTTGTTAATATTTAGAAATAAAAGCGCTAACGTTACATCTGTCATAGCGCTATTTTGGCTACGGTGAATCACGTGCCAAGCATGACGCGTCACCATGGAAACATATGGGGGGGGGGGGGGGGGGTCGCGATGCTGGCTTAACATCGTGATGTCTGTCAGCCATCACGATGGACGATGATATCGTCTTTCGGCACAACCCTAGTCTGTTGTGATTGGTCTACTCTGCTCTGATTGGTCAGATGGCCCAGTCTGTTGTGATTGGTCTACTCTGCTCTGATTGGTCAATGACCTAGTCTGTTGTGATTGGTCTACTCTGCTCTGATTGGTCAGATGACTCAGTCTGTTGTGATTGATCTACTCTGCTCTGATTGGTCAGATGACTCAGTCTGTTGTGATTGGTCTACTCTTCTCTGATTGGTCAGATGGCCCAGTCTGTTGTGATTGGTCTACTCTGCTCTGATTGGTCAGATGGCTCAGTCTGTTGTGATTGGTCTACTCTGCTCTGATTGGTCAGATGGCCCAGTCTGTTGTGATTGGTCTACTCTGCTCTGATTGGTCAGACGGCCCAGTCTGTTGTGATTGGTCTACTCTGCTCTGATTGGTCAGATGGCCCAGTCTGTTGTGATTGGTCTACTCTGCTCTGATTGGTCAGATGGCCCAGTCTGTTGTGATTGGTCTACTCTGCTCTGATTGGTCAGACAGCCCAGTCTGTTGTGATTGTTCTACTCTGCTCTGATTGGTCAGATGGCCCAGTCTGTTGTGATTGGTCTACTCTGCTCTGATTGGTCAGATGGCCCAGTCTGTTGTGATTGGTCTACTCTGTTCTGATTGGTCAGATGGCCCAGTCTGTTGTGATTGGTCTACTGTGTTCTGATTGGTCAGATGGCCCAGTCTGTTGTGATTGGTCTACTCTGCTCTGATTGGTCAGATGGCCCAGTCTGTTGTGATTGGTCTACTCTGCTCTGATTGGTCAGATGGCCTAGTCTGTTGTGATTGGTCTACTCTGCTCTGATTGGTCAGATGGCCCAGTCTGCTGTGATTGGTCTACTCTGCTCTGATTGGTCAGATGGCCCAGTCTGCTGTGATTGGTCTACTCTGCTCTGATTGGTCAGATGGCCCAGTCTGCTGTGATTGGTCTACTCTTCTCTGATTGGTCAGACAGCCCAGTCTGTTGTGATTGGTCTACTCTGCTCTGATTGGTCAGCTCGTCCAGTCTGTTGTGATTGGTCTACTCTGCTCTGATTGGTCAGACAGCCCAGTCTGTTGTGATTGGTCTACTCTGCTCTGATTGGTCAGACGGCCCAGTCTGTTGTGATTGGTCTACTCTGCTCTGATTGGTCAGATGGCCCAGTCTGTTGTGATTGGTCTACTCTGTTCTGATTGGTCAGATGGCCCAGTCTGTTGTGATTGGTCTACTCTGTTCTGATTGGTCAGATGGCCCAGTCTGTTGTGATTGGTCTACTCTGCTCTGATTGGTCAGATGGCCCAGTCTGTTGTGATTGGTCTACTCTGCTCTGATTGGTCAGATGGCCTAGTCTGTTGTGATTGGTCTACTCTTCTCTGATTGGTCAGATGGCCCAGTCTGCTGTGATTGGTCTACTCTGCTCTGATTGGTCAGATGGCCCAGTCTGCTGTGATTGGTCTACTCTGCTCTGATTGGTCAGATGGCCCAGTCTGCTGTGATTGGTCTACTCTTCTCTGATTGGTCAGACAGCCCAGTCTGTTGTGATTGGTCTACTCTGCTCTGATTGGTCAGCTCGTCCAGTCTGTTGTGATTGGTCTACTCTGCTCTGATTGGTCAGACAGCCCAGTCTGTTGTGATTGGTCTACTCTGCTCTGATTGGTCAGACGGCCCAGTCTGTTGTGATTGGTCTACTCTGCTCTGATTGGTCAGATGGCCCAGTCTGTTGTGATTGGTCTACTCTGCTCTGATTGGTCAGATGGCCCAGTCTGTTGTGATTGGTCTACTCTGCTCTGATTGGTCAGATGGCCCAGTCTGTTGTGATTGGTCTACTCTGCTCTGATTGGTCAGATGGCTCAGTCTGTTGTGATTGGTCTACTCTGCTCTGATTGGTCAGATGGCCCAGTCTGTTGTGATTGGTCTACTCTGCTCTGATTGGTCAGATGACTCAGTCTGTTGTGATTGGTCTACTCTGCTCTGATTGGTCAGATGACTCAGTCTGTTGTGATTGGTCTACTGTGCTCTGATTGGTCAGATGGCCCAGTCTGTTGTGATTGGTCCACTCTGCTCTGATTGGTCAGATGGCTCAAGCTGTTGTGATTGGTCGACTGCTTGCAGCATGTGTCAGAATAGTAAATACCATTATCTGAATTTCAGCTCTTCCTCAGTCAGCACTTAGTGATACAAACAGTAATGATGGCACTTTAAATATACCCATATTTTAAAGCTTTGTATTCAGTCTATATTTTCTCAAAACACTGTTTGCGGTCCAAAAAGTCATCATCTCTGAACTCATTGCGGTTTACATAAAAACAAAAAGTCATTCTCCATCCATTGTCCATCCGTCCATAAGTAAGGACAGACGACCAGTCCATCTCAGTCACCTATACATGTCAATAATAAAATAATCAGTGAATATCAATTAA